TGTATGGGCTGCAAGTTTGGATGTGTTGGGAATGGGTCCCCTCCAAGGCCAATTGGGCGGACGCCATATCCCGGCTGGGTTGGCAGGACCCATGGGCTCGACAGAACAACTTTTCCATTTCTACTGCATTTGCTTCCCCATGCTGTGGCAGGTACCGTTTCGTTCCGTGCTCAGCGTCACGGTATTTCAAGTGCAGTGGGGAACTTTTAAGGATGCTGGAGGCATCCGTACCGGAGTGTCCGGCAGCCCCCTTTCGGCACAGGCCATGCAAGAGATGCATGGCATTCCGAAGCAGTATCCCTCACGATGAGGGTTGACAGAGGCACGAGCGGTGCTGACTGACCTTTGATGGGGTAAGGAAAAGGTGCGAGAGCAGCCGAGCAGTAGAAACGATACGTGACACATTGATGTATGCCATGTTTAGAGTTTGGCAGGTGCTGGGTGAACATGTATCATCAATTGTTATGTTGGCTCAAGTATGAGCCAAACTGGCAGACACCCTTTTTTGGTTTCCCCACCCAACCCACCCTAGTTGTCTGGCCTCCCGTAGGAACTGGGGTTTGCGCATTACGAACTGTGCTGAGGACGGGGTCTTGGGGTATTTAACTCGGCTTGGAGGAATCCAGGTCGGGGAACTTTTAAGGATGTTGGAGGCGTCCGTGCCGGAGCGTCCGGCGGCCCCCTTTCAGCACAGGCCATGCAAGAGATGCATGGCATTCCGAAGCAGTATCCCTCACGATGAGGGTTGACAGAGGCACGAGCGGTGCTGACTGACCTTTGATGGGGTAAGGAAAAGGTGCGAGAGCAGCCGAGCAGTAGAAACGATACGTGACACATTGATGTATGCCATGTTTAGAGTTTGGCAGGTGCTGGGTGAACATGTATCATCAATTGTTATGTTGGCTCAAGTATGAGCCAAACTGGCAGACACCCTTTTTTGGTTTCCCCACCCAACCCACCCTAGTTGTCTGGCCTCCCGTAGGAACTGGGGTTTGCGCATTACGAACTGTGCTGAGGACGGGGTCTTGGGGTATTTAACTCGGCTTGGAGGAATCCAGGTCGGGGAACTTTTAAGGATGTTGGAGGCGTCCGTGCCGGAGCGTCCGGCGGCCCCCTTTCAGCACAGGCCATGCAAGAGATGCGTGGCATTCCAAAGCAGTATCCCTCACGACGAGGGTTGACATAGGCACGAGCGGTGCTGATCTTTGCTGGGATAAGGAGAAGGTGCGAGAGCAGCTGAGCAGTAGAAACGATACGTGACACATAGATGAGATATTCAAATTCAATATACTTACATACATACATACATACGTACGTACGTACGTACGTGCATACATACATACATACATACATACATACACATACACATACACACACACACATACACACATACATACATACACACATACACACATACACGCATACACACATGCACACGTACTTCACATACACACATACACACATACACACATACACACATACACACATACACACATACATACATACATACATACATACATACATACATACATACATAAGGAAGGCGTACCGCTGGGGCATGGGCTTGTTTCGATCGCTTGCTTTGGGTCTCAGGCAAGCGCCGGCTGCGTGAAAGCGCTCCAGATCAGCGACGCCTTGGTTTGCGCCTGCGGTGCCAGGCGAGTTTGGCGACGCCAAAACTGGGTTTCCGAGCGGGGGATCTGAGGGCAGCCCAGATTTGGAGAATCCACCAGGCTCGGCATGATCTGCAAGGGTTCCTGTGCAAATGCTTTTGGCTCAGCTACGGAGTGGCTGTGGGTCAAAACCGTTTTGGTACCATTTTGGGGTAGGTGCACCACCCATTTTAGAACCTATTTTAGTGGTTGGATTGGTATGTTCACTGGGGGTACGGCATTTTGACCCATGGCCGTTTCCCGTTTTGGAAGCTCCAAAAGTTGTGATCGTTTTAAAGGGAGCCGCCAGTCAATTACAATTCTTGAGGGGAAAATCCGAGGACCCCTGACCAACCCAGAAAGGAGGACGACAAAAGCACGCATCCCTGAAAGCCTTGCTGCATGGGTTTGAAAGGCGACCAAGTCAGTCCGCTGAGCGAAGGAACCAGCGAGTGAGCAAGTCGACAAGAAGCTTGGCACTGGTATCGTAGTTGCTTTTGGGCCTTTGCTACCACTCTGCGACAGTGTTTTGTGTTGTCACTGCCCTTACAATACAAATCTTTGCATGCATTCTGTTCGCTTTGGCCTGGGGTTGCTCCGTTTAATTCCCTGTTGCTTCGGAGGAAAAAAATGGAATGGTCATGACTGCAAAATCTGCCTAACAGAACCGCTTTTCCTCCCCAACAGCTGGAGGCTATGGGGTGGATAGACCCAGATAGGTTCTGGGGGTGGTTCGGAGCCGCTTCCAGGGAGTATCTCACAACGATGAATCAACCCCGTTTAAGTTGGTATTCAAAGAAAAGCCGAGGGAAACCAAGAAAAGCGACACACCCAGATGCACCTGAATCCGTTCGCGGCCAACTCCTCCCACACCCGTTTTGGGACGCCTGAACATCGCCAGGTGCACCGTGCAGGCATCATTGGCCGACGGCCATCTGCCGGAGCCGCCCCGGTGCGGCCAGGGACCAAGCCGGGCCTCAGGGCCCCTAGGCTGCCGAGTGGTACCTCCAGAGTCCATTTGCTGAAGCGAATATCCTTTTTCCTGTTGGTTTTTGAAGGGAATCTATCACTAAATACGGTTTTGTCCAGTGGACTTGAAGAATATTGTAGGCAATGGTATGGAGTAACGGAGCGTTGCTCAGACAGGATAAGACCTAGCCAGGCCACTGCGGGGAATACCTCAAATTCGTCCGGTCCTAAGTGTTTTTTGTTTTCCCCTGTTGGTTTTGACGGGAATCTATCGCTGAAAGTATGTTTTTGTGTGGTGGACTTAAGCAAATGGAAGCCAGCGATGGCCTTTCGACTGTTGCATTGGAGGGTTTTGCTTAGATTCAGCTATCCAAAAACATATCCGAACAGCAAATGTTCGAGTGAGCTTTAGAAACGCAAGATTCTCGGGGGATTCGGTGGCCTTGATACTTTTTAGTGCCTGTTTCTTTTGTTGATTCTTACTTGCTGCTTGCCAATCACTTTTTGCTGACACACCAAAAGTTGGGATGCGGATTAAGGTGACAAGCAAGAAATCTGTGAATCCCTTCCCCCTACCATCAAATCCACGCATGAGCAAGAAGGTGCTTCAGGCCAAGGTCTCAAACAAGCTCTCCCCTTCAAGGGGAAACGACTTTTGAGCATAGCTTCCAAGTCTGGAACCGCAGAGGTGTCAGTGGTGGGGCTGGCTCCAACGCATGGCAGCACTTCCTTTGCGTGCATATGTGCGTGTGCGTGTGCGCTGGATGTTTGAAGCGGGGGATCCACAAGTGAGGAGATAGGGCACACTTTTGAGAAGGAAGCCAAAAGCACCACCATCTTTGAGGGGTCCCCTTTGTTGACATTAAATGGACCCCCTCAAACACCCAAGCAGCCGGTGGCTCCGCTTTTGGCTTCTATCCAGCAGCTTCTTTCCCAGGCTGCGGCGGAGCCTGGCGATCCGAAGGCGATTTGCGTCGAGAGAAACGCTCATAGCTGACCTTCCACCTAGGCACGCCTTGTTTGGGGGATCGAATTCCTACTTTAGGAGCAACTTGAAGCCATGTGAGTGACCCTCTAGCCTTTTGGTTTCCCTTTGTCGGTCCATTTTAGTCAATGTCAAACGTCCCAGCATGCGGACCTGATAATTATTTCCGACTGCGAAGACATCTCGGTTTACCACCGATCAATGCTTCTTTGTCCCAAAAGCTGCTTTCCACCGCAACAAGGTCAGATTGGCTTGATCCAAACGCGTCGATTGCTTACAACTTGTAAGTCACAACAACTTGTCCCAGTTATGCACTTCCTGAGTGTTTCTTACCGATTGACATTGTTTTTGCCATGGTCCGTTCCCAGAATAGGAGGCAGATAGCTTTGGCTGACAGATTCCAAGAATCCAGTCATAGCTTTGCGCCGCTTCTGTCGTACCCGCTGTTCTGCAGATGGGATTTGCACCTTCATCCTGCAAGCTTTGAAACATGATTTGCAATATGTGGAATGTTTGCTTGATAGTTCATTTTTTCAGGTCCGATGGTTATTTGATTCATGTCCTGTGGAAGCAAGTGGCTGCAGCGTTTTCCAGGAGAAGCGAGCCTCCAAAATTGAAGAATCGCAGCCCGTGGGAGCATGGTTTCAACCAGCAGGCCCTGGACCCAAGGAAGATAACGGAAGCTTCAATCCCGGTGCTTTTTTGGGATACCCTTGAGATTTGTTTAGGAGACCAAAAATTGGTAACTCCCAGCCATCTCCTTAGCTTGTTAGCCTTTTAGTGTTTAGTGGTAGTTTTGATTTAACCCACTAAAAGTTAAACTTTTAGCGCGGGATTTGAGGGCCTCTGGGGATCCAAACAGCGGTTGACCCGTTCGTCAGGTGGAGAGATGGTGGACTATCAAGAGATTCGCTTGCAGGACATCAGCGGCTTGGAGAGCGGCTCGGCATATCCGCCCAGAGCCTTCCACTGGATGCCCCAAGCATATCCTAGGTCCCCCAGTAGTGCCCTTTTACCCTTTCTTGGGGGGAGGGTTCCCCTACTAAAATAGACTACATAAAAAAGGGCACCCTTATTCCAAACCTTTTAGTGGAGGACCTGGTTACCTTGCTTCGAAGACTCCCCTAAAACATTGCTTGACTGCGAGCAGCCAGGCGCCAAAAGGTCAATCCGACTGCCTCGACCGCTGCTTGTTGATGCAATAGCCAAGAAACAAGCGTTGACTGCTATTGGCTTGAATCTTTAAACTTTAACTTTTTGGGAAATACATGCGTTTTCCACTAAATCCCCCAAAAGTTAAACTTTTTGCAGGGGGGTCAACAGCAACCAAGAGGAGCTCATGCCATGGCCTTTTCTGAAGCCAGTTGTGCTGCATCCCAGTAGCCAGCCCCGCCATGGTTGGTCGTGGGAAACAGGCCCCTTTCTGCGATACCTTTAAGGTGGGATTCCGATCCCTCAAATTATTTTCACTTCGGGGGATGTTTGAGGGTTAACATTTCAGAACGTGGCAGAACATCGCAGCAGATCCCCAAATGTTCTACCTCACCAAGTGTGTTGTCTTCTTTTCCAAAAAAACCTTCTCCACAACCTCACCCAGTGTTTCTTGCTGTTTTGCCACGAGAAAAGCACCTCACCCAGTGTGTCCACAACCTCATCCTGCAAGAAAAAACAACGTATTTCTTTGGCTGTGGTTGTCAAAACCAATGGTGTTATTTTGGGGGTGGGTGAATTCACCACTCATTTTAGAACCTATTTCAGTGGTTGGATTGGTTGATGTTCACTGGGGGCTAACCGATTTGGTTTTTCCATTGGTATGACAGAGACAGGCCCAAGGCTGACTCATTGGTTTCACATCTACATCCCATTTGCTTTTTGACCACAGGCAGCCGGGTCTCATGCCCCACCGCCACAGCAGCCTACCGCCAACCGCCAGGCGCCAGCGGCCTGGTGGTGCTGAGCGGAAGTTTGGTGTCCTCCGCGGTGCCGGGGGACGTGGTGGTGCTGGGCCCGGGACTCAAAGGTTTGCAGATGCTTGGAAGCTTTTGGTGGCCGAAGGCCAGCCGGTGCTGAGTTGTTTTTTTTCTCCCCTTTTTAGTGTGTGGTAGTGTCCATTTATTAGAGTCTTGGTGGTTCCAAGCCATCCCCTTCAGGTTTTTAGCAGCTCTTTTTGGTTTTTGGTTTAGCGGGGTGTTTCCATTTTATCCCAGTGAACTAGGTACCCCAGCTAGGTGCCCTTTCTCACCCAACTTTTTTGGTTGGGAGGGTTCCGACCTACTAAAGTAGACTACAGCAAAAAATCAGGTACCCTCATTCTAACCTCTCTACTGGAGGACCTAGCCGATAGCTTTTTAGATCCTTTTGGTGTTTAGTGGTAGTTTCCTTTTTTAGGCCACTAAAAGTTATTCACTTTTAGCGGGGGATCTGAGGGCAGCCCAGGTGAAAGTTTTGGGGATGAAGTCATCATTCCAGACGCATTCGTTTCCCAGCGAATCGTCCAGTTCCTGCGAGGTTTTGAGTGGTTTGTAGTTGGTGTAGTGCTTAGGTGTCCGAATTTCTCCCAGAAGTTCTTCGCTTTTTGGCAGGGGAGACCTGGTGCACATCAACTCTCTTCTGCTCAGAGAGCATCGGGCTTTTGACCAAGTTTATACGGGTTCATTGCATTTTTGCATTTCTCATTCCCTGCCCCTCTCTCGCAGCAAGGGCCCTTCATCGCCTTTCAACTGCGAGCGCTCGAAATTTCCCGGCCGCCAAACCGGCCGCCAAACTTTGTGAGGCGGCGTGCTGCGCTTCCGGTGGCCGGCGGGGGGCGGCCGCCGGCTCTGCGTGCGGCTGGTGGTGGAGGCCAACGACCTGAGGCCGCTGAACCAGGCGCGGGTGGCGCGGATGGTCGTCTCAGGTGGCATCCGTTGGGGGTGGGGCCCCCGTACTTTTTGCTGTTTTCTCCTTTGTCTTGTTTTTTGTTTTTGTTGTTTGTTGGTTGGTTCTTATTGTTTTTCGCCCCCCCCCTTTTTTCCTCTTTTTTTTGGGAGAAGAGATGTGCCTTGGAAACGCGGGGCTTCACGAGAGGAGCTTGCAAGCTGCTCCGGTCGAGTAGGTTTTTTCGCCATGCGGGCCGTGGGCTGATGTTGGGTTTGAACTTCTAAATGGGGTATCCCAAATCATGATGATACCGTTCCGCCTGAGATGGACAGAGTTGGACCAAGCCAGTGGCTGTTTTGGTCGCGGCCCAAGAAAAAGACAGGCTGTGCGTTTGCTTTTCCTTGAAACAAGTTCCTATAAGACATCAAGAGATCAGGACACGGAGCAACAGAACCCTCGGCGGGGGGGGGGGGGTTTTCCGGGCCTTTGTCTCCAAAACCAGGATTGGCTGCCTATGAAACAGCAGGCACTATCCGTATCCCAGATTTCATATAGGTCCCCCCCTCCTCGCTTTTTCCCGACCCACCTCCTGGCCCTTAAGGCCTTTGGAGGAAACCGGAGGGGTTTCGGGGGGCCATTTTGACACTTAGAGTATATGTTGCAGCCAACAACCCCCCCAAAAAAAACAATACCCATTGAGGAGGTTGCACAATGGACCCCATTGCGTCCAAAGTGATGTTTATTTTCTTGGGGAGTTGGAAAAATCCAAAAGTTCTAAAATCCCGGGTCCCCGCAGTGGTGTTTCTTTCCTTGAGGAGTTCAAGAAGTTCAAAACGTTTAAAATTCCGGGTCTCCAAAGTGAGTCCCAAGATTGCCACAGGCTCCCAAGCCCACGGCGAATTTCCTGGCCGCCAGCGGCACCGACCGCTTCTCCTGGCGCCGCGCTCTGATCCGCGCTGTGGCGCCCCATTTGCAGGGCTTGGAGGCGCATCCATCCGCGACGAAAGCGGAAGCGACTCATACCTTGAGCTTTAAACAGGTGTGGTTCCTCGCATTCTTGTCTGAGTTGTTCTTGGTTTTGTTTGGTTTGAAAGTTTGCATTGGTTCAGTTCGGTTCGGCTCGGTTTATTTGTTTGTTTGTTGTCAGGTAAGTTCCTGGCTATTTGGGGCTGTCATTCCCCTTAGGGATTTCACTTTGAAATGAGGTACCCTGCTCAGGACGGGTAGGTGCCGTGGGGGACGGGCGTTGGCGCAGGTGCCGAAGTTGGCGGTGCTGCTGGTTTTGCTGGGCGAGAAAGAGGACGACACCTGCACCGAGCGCAGGCCGGAGGCATGTTGTTTGTTGGATTTCCCGGCGCACGTGGGGGATGCTTTGTGCAGTGAAAATGCCGATATTTGGGGGATGCTGACTCTTTTTCTGAGGGGAGTTGGTTGATCTCCTTTGAGGGCACCCGATTTGGGGGAGCGTACTCATGAGGGAACCAAGTTTGTTTGGAGAGGTTTGTCGTTTTGAGGGTGCCCAATTTGGGTGGGGTGAGACTCAAGGAAAGTCAACTGTGTTGGAGATTCCCCATTTTGCGGGGATGTTTCAATCCACCTTGCAGGGGGCAATTCTGAGTTTGCCTCCATGCTATGAACCCCAGATAAAAAGTTGTTTTCCAGGGTTTCCCTTTAAAAACAAGTTGAGCTGATAACTGATATCAACAAAACGACAACTCCGAAATGGAACGCGCGGATACGCGCACTCTCGCAATGAAATTCACCAAAATCCAATGCCAGCGTGAGGACAATGAATTGAACATGTCCTCGCGAAGGGATGTGCTTGCAACCTTTGGCCCTTTTGATTTCTTCAGAGATCTGTTGGGGGGTTGGTGTGTCGTGTTTTGTCCCCATTGCCATCTCTTTAGCGAGAAGCCATTGTTGAGAATGGATATATTTGCGCGAGGTTAATGCCAAGAGGCAGGGATGTGACGCTGTTCGGGGCTCAAGGTGCTAGGACCATGGTTGGCACTGGTTGGTTGCAGATTTGTGCTCCGCAGCATGTCAGTCTTCTTTCCGGGGCAACCCGTCTTTTGTGTGGCTTTTCCAGAGATTTCAGTATCCTGTATAGGCAACCAACTGGAAAACACCCTTGAAAGACGAAAAGGACAATGACGAAGAAAGCTCTTCGCCGATCGGGATCTGCCCGTTAAGCGCCTGGGTCGGGGCCTCTCAACACTGAACGTGTTGGGTCAGGTGTTCGCCAATTTTCCACTGCCTGTTATTGTTTTGTCCAGGTGGGGGGGGTGGATTCTCAAAATTGGGCAAACCCCCCCCCAAGACAAGAAGCGTAGTTTCCGTCTGGTTTCCTTCATGACATAGCCACCAAAAGGGTACTCTCCAAAAAGCCCCCATGTTGGCTTCCCTTTCCACCCACCCGTTCAGTGGCCAGGTTCGAGCTCTAACCAGAGTCAAATGGCTACGAATTTCAATTGGGAGCCACCTCCAAAGAGGTTGGCGGACATTCCACCACAGGCCTAAATGACCCCAGCACGAATCAGAGCCACTGGCAGTCATCGCAGGTGGTCGCACTTCGACACTTTCAAGGAGTCCGGCGCCAGAACGCGCCTTGGAGTCGATGGCAACGGTTCCATCGGAGATTCGGTCAAAATTGGTCTTTTGGGGCTCATTTGGGAGGGACATGGGGGTCTTCTCACTCCCGCAGTTCCTCGACTTTAAGCTATTTGGGAAGACCACTTTTATGGTAAGTAAGAAGCTTGGACTTTTTTAATCTATCCACTCAGGAAGTGAGCCTTACTAAATCTCCCCACAAGAACCAGGGGACTCACTAAGTTTCCCATGTCATTTTGGAGGGATCAAGTAATTTTGACCGTGGCTCATCTGACATGGAACCTCGAACAAAAGAAATTCCATGCTTGAACTGAAGGGTCTCCGATCGATCAAATGTTGTGTGCCAGTCTTGGGTTCAAGCGCTCCCATCTGAAATCTACCAACCCAACAACCATCAACAACTCCATACAGGTACTCTTGTCTTCGCGACTCCGGGTTGTTTGTGAGGGACGCCAAACAGAACACCATTCTTGAGGAGTCCCCGTTTTGACACGGCCGAATGCTTAGAAGAGGGCGTTTGTCCTTGTTCCCGTTTGACTCTCTTGCTCAGTCGATATCCCCTTTCTTCCGTCACCAAAGGGCAAGGCGAGAAAATGGCCCTAAAAAAGTGAAACCTTTGAAAAAGCAGACCGGCTGCCTGGAAAAACAAACAGATTCCCGGACAGGCCGCTGAGAGGCGGCCTGCCTACAATGAGTTTCAGGGGCGTTTCCATGTGCACATGTTCCAAATGAAGCATTCCCCTTGCTGGGACCTCCAAAAGTGGCGATTTCAATGGACACCACCAGCAAATTCATCAAGCAAAACGGAAAGAATCCAGTGACCGAGGCGCCGCAAGTGCCACCTGCTGCTCATGGGCGAGACTTGGATGCGCGTTTGAGGTGAGCTCAATGAATTGGACAGGGCCGTACTACTTACCCTCCCACCAATTCACATGGAACCTTGGGGTCCTTTAAAAGGACAGTTGTCAAAAAAAACAGGACACCGGTTCCATGTGAATTGGGAGGGCAATGCTTTTTTCCAATACGCCAGGAAATCAAACCAAGGATTGCATGGACCCGCATCACCCCACGAGTTCGCTTACTGGGGTTTGATATGGCAATGGACCCTTTAGCGGTTGTCCATGGGCTCCATTGAGGCCGGCCCAGGAAAGAGGGGCATGGAATGTTTCTTTGCCTTTTGGAGTCTTGTTGCCCTCCTCTCGTGCCATAGATTGGGGTTATTGCCCCAAAGCTGTGGGTTGATACCCTGGGTTTAAGGGTAGTTTGTGGGTCCAGGTATCTACTTTCCACTGCAGTATGCTGATGCTTCCAGAGTGACCAGTGACGGCCTTGCCAAGACATTGCCAGGCTTAAATAACAAAATGACTCGATTTTCCTTTTGGCCAACAACAAGTTGCCTCGGGGATGACATTTCGCTTGTTGGTGAGTCTCATGTGAGTTCTCTTGTGAGAAGCACGGAAAAGTACCAGTCCTCGAAGCGAATGGAGCCGAGGGAGACATATGGTACTGGCGGCAGGCCGAGAGACGAAGGCTAACTCACGCGTTCAGGTCTCGACCAGTTGAAAAGCTCCGATTGCGTCCCTTCCTTGTGGCAAAAACAGCTCACTTGCAACCAAAGCACTTTTGACCTTTCGACCATTTTTGTTGGCCCCAAGAGGATAAACTAGTGTATGTTGTCATCCACTATTTTCCTAACCACTATTTATACATGTTTACGATTTTAGATGATCACAATTTTAGACCATCACAATTTGTATATAATTACTATTTATAATTATCCGAAAGGGATGAAAGAAGCTTCACAGCCATTCCCCGGAGTGTCACTCATTGGATTTTTTGAGTTCCTTTTGGGGATGAACCCAGAAGCCACTCTCTTGGAAGGTGGCTTTTGAGCATCACATAACGCCGCCAAAGGGTGTTCAAGAGGTGGCTTTCCTTCTTTTCCAGCCTTCAAAAACCAAATAGGGGGTCTCCCAAAACCTGGAAAGGGTGGCCATGGCATTTCTGTGATGGACTCCAAAGGCAAGCCACTTCTTTGAGGGTAGTCTTCCTCCCATGAGACCTCTGGTTTCCCTGCGACCCAAAAAGGTTCCCTTCAAGCTAGCGAAGATGGGAGCTAGTATTTCTTTTTGAAAGGGAGACCAGCAAGTAAGACATGGTCCAATTTCTTTTTTGAGGACTGAAGATGTTTGGTTTCCTGGTTTGCCTTTGCCAAACTAGTGAAGCGGGGGCTCCTCGATTCTGGGGGATTCCGCATGGCCCAAGTCGGCCGCTAAGGACCCAGGCACCGGCAAGACACAGCTCTTGCAGGCCATCGATTCATGCGAGCGACCCCCCAAGGGGGGGATCCCATTGATCTAGGGGTTGAGTCCTTTTCCATTCTTTCCAACCATCGTTCTTTTCAAACACCAGCTATTTTCCTCGGGTTTTTGGAGGTTTCCTAGAAAGAAGGATCCCTGGAAAGAATGGGGAAGGCACTCCCAGAATTGATCCTGGCGGTAGTCCAGGCTGGTCTTTGGTCTGACCAAACCGAACCAGACTCCGAAAGGACCTTCTGCAAACGAATGGCTCCAGTAAACCTACGTGTTCAAGCACGGAACCGAAGTGAGGCCCGAGCAGACTTTGGGCTTGGGGGTTCTTTTGACCGAATTCCCCTAACATGCATCCTGCAACACAATTTGTCTTTCAATATACCAAAGGAACTGTGTCAGATGGGAGAGTGTGTGACCGCTCGGCCCGCCCCAAAGCGAGTCGACTTCAGATTTATAGGTGGTGAGCGAAAAAGGTTCAACGATGTGACCAGGTTTTTTTCACTATGACGGCATGTGTTTTTCTCAAGTTGCCATAAATTGGGACCACCTCCATAAATGGTCTTTTCCATTTCGGGTTCCAATGTTCAATTCCGGTCCTGCTGCTGGCGAGCCTCTGGTTTTCAGGCCCAACCGTGTCAATCTTGGTTTCTCACGGCTTTTGGTTGACAGAAGCTACCAAAGCAGGCCTGACGTCTCTAAAAGCTTGCTTTCCCTTGGCGGCAAGCATCTGGGGGAGCGGGGGGGCCCTATATGTCGGGTTTTGTGTGTCGGACATATCACCTTTTGATTCACTGGGGTGATGTTGAATCATAGGTTGGAATTATGACGACGCCGATTGCACATGCGAATGTCAGCTGAGTCCGCTTTTGCAAGAAACGGTTTGATCGTTCACAACTTCCTTAAAACCCAAGTATACAAGTTCTTGGAATTTGTTGCTTTTTTTTTCCGGGAATCTTGTTGAACACCTTATTCCGCTGGTAGTTTCCCTTGCATGTCCCACTCAGGGATCTCCCCATTTTGAGCAAGTGGTTTCCAACAACCCTGAGTGCTCCCAATTGTTCTTAGGGTTCGACTATCCTCTGTCCTTGGGCAAAGATTTGATGCGTTTTTGAGTTGTTCAGCTTTCTTTTTTTCCTGTTGATTTTCAGCGGGTCCGAATCTGGCCGAGTTCTGTGAATCCCAGCGCTCTGCAACTTTACGTGGACCCATAAAGATCCCTATAAGGAGATTTGAATCTCTGAAGCCTGATCGGTTTTGAGGGTTTCACGTTGACCTGCAGGAAAGTAGAAATTGAGGATTGGATTGGGATCTTAACCTTCCATTTGCGCTTAGATGTTGATGCTGCAAGTAATTATCCAAGACAAAGGCCCATACAGAACGAAGGCTTTTTTTGGGTCACGTACCGCCCTGCGCTTCGCTCGACCTAGCCGTTTGGCTGTCAGCGATAAGTTTCCCAAGACTGCGACCTCGTGCACATAGGCCATATCCAGAGTTCAATAGATGGATTGTTTGCCCCTAAAATTAGATGCCCTGGCGATGACAAAGGCTTTGTTGAGCGCAGACATGCAGGTTCGGCTTGCAGGCCGCGGAAAGTGTGCAGCGGATGTAAGAAAGGACCAGACCGAATTTGCCATTGCTGAAAAACTCTTGCACTGCAAAGAATCTTGAGTCTGAAACCAGAACCAGACTAGAGACCACCAAGAAACTGCTGCAAATTGGCAAGACAACCTCCTGGCCACGCGCCAAACCCGATTGAACGCAGGGGGCGATTTCATATATCAGGGGTTCTCAGCCACTCACCCCACACTCGCGCACTTGCATCAGACAAGAACTAGCAAAACATTGTCAGCCTCGCTGACGTCCTGTGCGACGCCTTTCGCGCCACCCGGCGAAGTCTTTTCCAGCTGCCAACTGGGGCCAATGGCCCCTCTGCGGCGGCGCTTGGTGCGGGCAGGGCTGCTAAATTGCGCCGCGTGCCTAGTGCCAAGTCGGGCTGATTGGGTGTCCAACCTTAAGATCAAACACACTTTTTGGGCTTTTGAGAGCATTTTGCTGCCCAATCCTTCCCTGAAATATGCCCTTGCTAGGGTCCGGCTAGGTCAACTCGCACAAGTTGGAGGGAGGTGAGGGGAGTTTGGGAGCGCACTGGCTTCTCTCTTGGAGGTTCCGTGGTATTTCTCGCGATGAACGACCATCCTTTTTTTTCTTGTGGGATCAGAATACAACCCGGTCCCTTGAACCTGCGTCCTTCTGCAGAAAAAGGGTGGGGGGGGGGAAGGCGTGTGCATGCTATCTGACCCCAAAGACCTGAATTCGTGGTTTGGGTCCAGAGGGTTCCCGTTTAAACAGCATCTAAGGTCGCAACCTAGAAAGATGTTGCGTTTCCTGGGCTTCTCCAAAGGGGAAGCTGAATCCACATCCCGTTCCATTTGTTGCTTTCTTTTCTTTTCTTTTTTTTGTTGGGGGGGGGAGCGATGTTGCTACTTCCAAGGATTGCTGTTGTTTTTGTCTTTCGGTTCCACGAACTTTGCCTTGAGGCCTTGCTGGGCGCGACAGGCGGAATCGGGAATCGGGAATCGGCTCAAAAGTTTCGCGTCTCGATGCATGTCTCGCTTTTCCCCGCACCTGTTTTCATGTGTCTGAAATTTAGGGACCGCTTCAGCATGGTGTCCGCTTCAGCATGGTGTCCTTTTGGTTTCTATTGACCGCTAGTATAGGGGGACGGATCGACCCTTTGTTGATTCCCTTCTCAATAGGGATTCCAGGGTGTCAGCTTTTAAACCCACCATATAGATATGGTCAAACTGGAGGGACCCCGGCAATGGCATGTAGCTTTCCTGTTGGTTTCTCTTCAACGCAACCTAGAAAGGGGTACCTCCACAAGGGCAGAATTTGTGAAACGGTCGGGTGTTTGGGTTACGGCTCGAGGTGAATGGGCAATTTGTTTGTTGCGGCTCGGTGCTGTACTGTTGTCACCTTGACTTTGAAAGAAGCCAACAGCCAGGAACACAATTCCTGGGCTCCCCATATTTCGACACACACACAATTTACGCCAAACGCACCGATTTGGGGTAACATTTGCTGAAGGTTGCTGGGGGATTTTCAGGCGTGATTTGCTACAGCTTGACTTCACGATACTCTTTGCCGCGCAGCCTTGTACTTGAATCATGGTGAAGCCCGGTTTTCATAGAAAGGTAACCTTCGCAGAAACTCACCCCAAGGAAAGTTTTGGTTGAACCCTGCGAACCCCTTCTGTGCCAGACGTTTCAGGGGTCTCTTTAAAAAGAAAATGGTCCGAACCAAGACCCCCCGAACGTCGAACGGTTCCATGTAGATTTGGTGAGAGGGTATTTTTTTCTACTAAGCTAGGAGTTCAAACCAAGGATTGCATGGACCCCCATGAGCCCACGGGTTCGCTTACTTGGGGTTTGATATGGCAATGGGCCCTTTGGCGGGGAACATCGTTTCCGACTGACCAGTAGCCGCCCAATCACACCCTGAAGCATGGCCGAGAGCCCTTCAGGGGATTGCCCCAGGGTTGGAAATCATCGTGCAGTGGAAAACCAGTTGCCTGGTGTTCAACAGGGCATGCGGGTCCTTGGAAGGATGTGGTCACAACCTTTTGGGTTAAGAAGGGATTGGGAGTTTTGTTTGTAGCGGTTTTCTCGTGCTGCTTGTTGTGGAAGAGTGGAAGACCGGATTGGCCGGATCCCTTAGTTGATTTCTCAGCGGAAGATCGGCTTGCCCAGTTTCCTTGGCGAGTTATCATGTCAAAGATAGATTTTGCGCATGTGGCGGCATATCATCAAGACAACTCGGCAAGCTTGAGTTGTACCCTTCTGAGAACCCCAGATTGTATAGGCGATCCAGGGTTCTCCCTTTAAGACCGCAAAAGAAGAATGGCCCCGATTTGGGACTATTTTTGGTGCTCAAACTGCGATTGAAGGGGAACATGAACCCATCGTGTTGGTTGGCAGCTGTTATTTTATGGGTTTGAGGGTCCAGCTATTTTTGGCTTAAAGGGATCGAAAGCGGATGGAAACCAACCAGACTGTGTATATTATATGTATATATGTGTATCACATATATGTATGTATGTGTATATATATATATATACACATAGAGATATGGGGGGGGGGTCCACCTAATTTTGACGCGTAGAAGTTGGGAGCTGCAGTGTCCCAGGCTTCGCCTGTCCGGAGCCACAGATCGCTGCAGTCCGAAGCGTTTTGCTTGGAGGTCCCGTTTTGTGTTTTGGGGGCACCCGACCGCGTTTTGCCAACCAGAAACATGTTTATTTTAATTGTTTTTGAGTTAAAAAAAAAAAAAAAAAAAAAAAAAAACTCCACGTTTTACGGGGCCAGTAAACAACAGGGAGGTCAACAAAAAAGCAGGGCACCCTTTTGTGGGTGTCCGGTATAAGGATTTGGAGCCCTTTGGTTTTCAACTTGAGGTGTCCTTTGCTGCACCTCCCCCCCGGGTTGTTTTGAAGGAAACCCCGAGGAACTCAAAGTTTGGGGGTTGAAGCTACGGGTTTCCAGCCGTTTCTGTTGGGCCCTTGTTCCAATGAAACAATGGAGGTGGTCAGCAAGCCCCTTTGAGACTATGGTCCTTTGTTTGGGACAATCAGGTTTTTGTGTTTTTGGAGCTATGCCGTTCTTTCTCAAACGTGACTCCAAAGGACTTTGGTTGGGAGCTCTGCTGCCAAAGGTTGTGCTTCAAGTCACACAGCGCTTCCTGTCAAAGTCGTTGAGCGGTAGCTGGAGGCCTTTGAACATCCCGTGGCTTGGCGCACAGGCGTGACAGGCGTCATGTTTGGTGCAAGCAGGCAAGCTAGCCAGTCAACCGCCTTGAAACGCAAGGAGCAACCAAGGAAGCAATCACATCCACAGACAAAAAGGCAACATCGAGCCCTGTTCCACAGACGCGGTTTTGCGAGGTGACGCAAGCAAGAGACGCCAGAAAAAAAAGGAACAATTGCTGGACCGCATTTCTCGGCTCAAGTTCCTTCCCCAATTTTCCTATTTTCCGGACTTCGGACGGTCCGAAGCCAACTCAAGATGGCAGGGATATCGCTTTGCTTAGATGCCCCACGGCCTCAAAAGCCTGAGGAGGAGACGTGCGCGACATGCTTCCGGATGGCTTGGTGAAACAAGGAAACCCAACATGTGGGGGGGGTGGGACCCGTTTTGTCCATTGCTGTGGGTTTCGGAGCCCGCTTTTTCAACGAGAAAAACCTTGTGCTGCTCGGAAGCTGGACCACATTAAACTTAGTGCGGGGCCCATTTCCGTTTGGCTCGCATCAGAAGTCACCTCGGCTTTCTCAACCACATGACCCTCCAAACGCACTTTCCGTTTTGGTGGTTTGGTTGGTGTTTCCCAGAACAGGGGTCGCGTGGTGTATTGTTGTTTTGTTTTTGTTTGTTTGGGGGGGGAGGGTGGGGGGTTACGCACGAGAGATGTCCCAGAGTCGTTCAGACAAGTGGATTAAGGTTGTTTCGAGCTGGAAAGTACCGTTTGTTGAAGCCCATCTTTTGACATGATATTGAATCAGGTTCACAAAATACAAGCCAGATTCAATTTTCCCAGCTGAAAGCTCTGGGCTGGCTTGGGGATGCCGGGATGCCTTGCTTCCCTTCAATTCAAAAGAAACGAGAGATTGCAACCGGCCCTAAACTGAACAAGCCAAACACAAGGAAACAAGCATGCGTCTCACAGTCGACCCTCAAACAAGAGATCCCAGATCGCCAAGTTGCCGCTTTTTTTGCAGACACGTTCCCCTACAAACAGTCATCCCTGGGAAAAAAAAGAAACACACACAAAAAAAAAAAAAACGCAAGCCGCTGGATCGCTCCAGGACGTCTTTTTCTTTTTGGTAAAGCTCCGAACCCGCGAGCCGCAGGAGTTCCCAGAGGACCTCCTTCCAGAGCCACGGGAGCTTCAGCCAGAGGAGAGCTCTGAGCTCTCCGCTTTCCCGGGGATTTGGATGGGGAACTGGGGATTTGAACGGGTCCCTGGTTTCTTGCTAGGTCCCCCAGCTACGTGCCAACTGTTATTGTTTCTTTTTTGGTTGGGAAGGGTTCCCCTACTAAAATAGACTACCGAAGAAAAGGGCACGCTTATTCTAACCTCTCCACTGGAGGTGTGAAGTCCCGTAACCACCACTCCAAACCACCAATTAGAGGGAAGCTGAATGGCCTCTCACGCGATGGGCCATGTTTCTGTTTTCAGCTTGCGAAATGTGAGTTGGTTCCGGGTCAAAGTGATGAGTTGGCACCACTGGTCTCTGTTTTCTCTCCCTTGCGGATGGCCCAGATGCCCAGTGGGACAGGCAGTTTTTCAGGATTCGAAACCCTTCGCCATGTTCCTATTGTTTTTTGAAGCGCTAGTTCCCTTTAATTATCCTCTTTGAAGTCCGTGGCAACCTAGGTAACCCTTCCCCAGGTATTTTTGGACACCTAGCGAAGTGAGGTGGCCAAGGAGGATTCAACCAAAAAATGAAGAACATGAAAGAAGCAGAAAGCATCGGGCGCTCGAAGCCGTCCACCGGCAATTGGACGCCCGCTTTTCTGGGAGTCAACTCATACGCGTGGGAGAAGGCCAGCGGGCTGCTTGACGTCCCTTGGCCCGGGGAGGAACCTCCCAAAGAGCACGCCGGCGACTGCTCAGCTCCCCATACTGTGGATGGACGAAATCCTGCACCACCCAAGAAACCCTGGAATGTTGATTCTCCTGGAAATACCAACAAACAATGGTTTCTCATGGTTTCAACAAGGTGCAGGATTTCGTCCATCCACAGTATGTTTGAAGCTTTCCAGGAAGCCGAAGGGATGGGTAAAATTTTGCTGCCAGAGTGCCGCAAGACGATTTTCCGTCAAGAGGGGATCGATCAACAGGCCGGTTTGAAAGCCGAACGATTGGTCACTGTCTTTCCATCACCCCGTCCACAGCCGCCCAGCATTTTCCCGCAGGATCCAATCTCGCCTGGCTTCATGCCAGCCTCGCCGGCGCCGTCCTTCGAGATTTGGGATGCCCGCTTTGAGCTGCCCGGTGGGCACAAGGTGTGTTTCTCAAGAGGTGGGTTGCTCTCCTTTCCGGCACCCAGAATGGTCCAGACTCTTTTTTTGTGATGTTCCTCTTGGCTTCCCTTCAAAACCAAGAAAAGGAGGTGCCCACAAGAAAAGGCACATCAAAATAGGGGCCCATTTCCTAAAGTCAGGTAACTCTCAAGTGATGGTTTGGATTAACTTGTGGATTTGAGCCGCTGGTTCTTGTAGAGGTTCAGAGCTCACGTGCGAGCAACAAGAGCTCATCGTGCCGTGGATCCGTTACTTGGGAGATCCCTTATCTCAGTTTTGGAATTGCCGACAAGAATGTAGATTACGGTGGCATCCTCAAGATTGCCCAAGCACGGCGTCAGTGGTTTAAAAGGAAACCACGCCCAAAAGTAATATTGAGAGGCCCGCTGGTGTAGCCCGCTGGGTGCAAACCCTGGTTTGCGAGTCATCTGAATAAACATTTACCCCATTGAGCCCACAGGGAGTTACTAGGGGTTAGCATTCACTGACTCACTGTCGAAGCGGGACCGAAGCAAGGCTGCCCAACGCACCCAACCGCATGCAGCACGAGAATTACGTGCGCAGAGTCAGGCAAGGTCCACACGGGGCCCCGGACGTGGGAGGTTCTAAAATTCCGTCTCAGCCCTGCCTTTTCCATTTGCTCAAGACGTTTTTCCCCGGATAGATGAAAGCTACAGGGGTTCTAGCTTTTGAGGTTCTGGTGACGGTGCGTGCGCATTTCTGCAAGATTGACGACTGCTACACTGCTAGGGCATGCAATTCTGGTGCTGGCGCAGGCGCTGTTTTGGGGTTTGAGGTGCCGGTGACGGTGTGGGCGCGGTTTTATGGTGCTGTTCGGGGTGATGGCGCGGGCGCATTTTGCAAGATTGCCGGCAGGGTGTTGGGGCGGGTGGTTTGGGGTGCTGGTGCAGTGCAGTTTTGGAGTGCAGGTGATGGTGCAGGCGCTTTGTGGGATTGACGGCGGGGGGGCATGCAGTTTGGGGTGCTGGTGCAGGTGCTGTTCTGTTTTGCGAGATTGCTGTCAGGAGCCTCCAGAAAAGGCCCTACCATGGTTCAAACTGCGGCCCTTGAAATTGACCACCTGCTCTACGGCTTCTACTTGGCCCAGTCATTTTTTCGTACAAACGGGAAACCGAACTGGCAAGCCCGAACTAGGCGGAAATCAAATGCTCTTGAGACAAGTCCAGTGTTTGAAATGGGCGCCTTTGATGTTGTCAAAAACGGGAGCAAGGGGGGCAGCTGTGCTGGTGGTGTTCCTTCTGACTTCCTTCAAACCAATGTGAGACATGTCTTAAAACAATGGGTTGTTTTTCTCCCTTTTGCTGCGTGCAACACCGTGCCCGGGTACCCAAGAAGAGATTCGCACGCCTTCCGCGTGGCCTTTCGGGCGAGGAAGTTCCTGGAGGAAGTCAGCGCCGCGCCTCTCACCTGGAAGTTGAAGGTTCAAAGCCAGCGGCTTTGGGGCCGTTGATCGCCGAAAATAGCCACGACGAGCGCCGCTGGGCTGCGACGGGTGGCCACTTTGGTTTGCCGGCGGCAACTACATCGACAGCAGAAACAGCGGCCACAGCAACGGCAGCAGCAACAGCCACAGCAACAGCAGCGGCGGCAGCAGCAACAGCCACAGCAGCAGCGGCGGCCGCAGCAACAGCCAAAGCAACAGCAGCACCAAGGAAAGAGACTAAGCTCCAACCAACAACCAACAACCAACAACCAACAACCAACACCCAACAGCAACAATAGCCACCGCAACCACAACCTCAACAACAACAAAGACACAGCCACACCACCACCACCATTATCATCATCATCACCACCACCACCAACAGCAACAACAACAACAACAACAACAACAACAACAACAACAACAACAACAACAACCACAACCACAACCACAACAACAACCACAACAAGAACAACAACAAGAACAAGAACTACAACAACAACAACAACAACAACAACAGCAACCACAACAAGAACAAGAACAACAACAACAACAACAACAACAACAACAACAACAACAACAACAACAAGAACAAGAACACCAACACCAACACCAACAACACCAACACCAACACCAACAACAACAACAACAACAACAACAACAACAACAAC